TGTTATTTTAACATTATATTAATTCAAATTATTTCTTCAAAGTCTTTTACTGCTGTTGATGTTGATGTTGATGTCTATTGTTCTTTTTTTTTTTTTTTTTTTTTTTTTAAATATTAAATTTTATTTTTATATTCCCCCATACAATTGCAAACGCCCCATTCTGACCCCAATCCTTCCCCTCCCGCCCCCCACCCCCAAAAAGTGTCTCTGGTTCATAGTTTTTTGTTGATTTTGATTTTCACTTTCTTATATTCATTTTCCTGGTCCCTTATTTAAGTTTTCTAGATTCCTGCTATGAGTGAGACCATCCGGTATTTTTCTTTTTCTTTTTGGCTTATTTCGCTGAGCATGATCCCTTCCAGCGCCATCCATGTTGCTGCAAATTGCATGTGTTTATCTTTTTTGAATGCTGAGTAATATTCCATGGTATATATGTACCACATCTTCTTGATCCAGTCATCTACTTTTGGGCATTTGGGTTGTTTCCAAAGCTTAGCTATTGTAAACAGTGCTGCTATAAACATAGGAGTGCAGGTGCTCTTTGGAATTGATGTTTCTGTGTCCTTTGGGTAAATACCTAGGAGTGGAATTGCTGGATCATATGGAAGCTCTATGTTTAGTAGGTCCAGAAATCTCCACACAGCTCTCCATAGTGGTTGGACCAGTTTGCACTCCCACCAACAGTGCAGAAGAGTTCCTTTTTCTCCACATCCTCGCCAACATTTGTTGTTGCTAGTTTTTTTAATATGTGCCATTCTCACTGGTGTGAGATGGTATCTCATGGTAGTTTTGATTTGCATTTCCCTGATTGCAAGTGATGTTGAACATTTTTTCATATGTCTGTTGGCCATTTGCATTTCCTCTTCAGAGAAGTTTCTTTTTAGCTCTTCTGCCCATTTTTTGACTGGATTATTTTCTTTGTTGTTGCTGAGTCTCATCAGCTCTTTGCAGATTTTTGTGATCAGTCCTTTATCATTAGTGTTGGGTGCAAAAATGTTCTCCCAGTTGGTGGGGTTTCTCTTTGTTTTTGTTATTGTCTCTTTTGCTGTGCAGAAGCTCTTTAATTTGATGTAGTCCCAGCTGTTTATCTTTCTCTTCACTATCACTGCTTTGGGTGATGTGTCTGTAAAGATGTCTTTGATGTGCAAATCCCGTAGTGTTTCGCCTATATTTCCTTCATACCTCAACATCATAAAGGCCATCTATGACAAGCCAACAGCCAGTATCATTCTCAATGGTGAAAAGCTGAAAGCAATTCCATTAAGATCTGGAACAAGACAAGGATGTCCACTCTCACCACTGCTTTTCAATATAATACTGGAAGTCCTAGCCAGAGCAATAAGACAAGAGAAAGACATCCAAGGAATCCAAATAGGAAAAGAAGAAGTCAAACTATCACTATTTGCAGATGATATGATAATATACATAGAGAACCCCAAAATCTCCACAGAAAAACTAATTCAACTCATCAATCAATTCAGTAAAGTGGCAGGATACAAAATCAACACGCAAAAGATGTCTATTGTTCTTAAAGGAAGCTCTTCATCATCCATTGTATTCTAGAAATCTAAATGCAACTGTGGAGTAAGAAATTTTCATTCCAAGCTTTTAGAAAAGTGTAACAATCTCTTTACACAAGTACCTCAAAATCTCAGTGCCCTGATAGGTTGGCATCCCAAATGACCAATTGCTAAACTATATAAATTCACCAGGTGCACAGACTTACTGGAATCAAAATCATCAGAATTGTCTAACTACTTGAAGGGCATTGCTCTCTGTTCAGTAAATGTCACTATGAAATCCCTGCCTTCGAAAGGAACTTCTTCGGGCCCTCCACAGTTGATGATGAAAGAAGAATTTCCAAATGGGTCTGGTAGGAGGACCTGCAGGCCTAACTCTTGTCCCTGGGTTCCACCTTTCATCAGCAGCTGAAGAGACTGAAAGCTGTACCCTGCTGAGAAAGCCCTGGGCTTTCTAGGCCATGGTAGCAGTGGGGACACTTGGGAGATCACCAAGAAGAAGGTGCAATATGGAGGTGGAAGTCAGGGCTTCTCCTCCTGGATGGGATCCAGATTTGATTTTTAATTTTTTAAGGAAGAGAACAGGTTTCCTTAGAGCATTATAAGGGGATTAAGAGAATTAGAAGACTAAAATTATTGTAGCTTTAGAAAATGATCTCAGGGAAGTTATTTAAATTCCCTATGCCTTAACTGCCCTGTGAGAAAATGGAAATGAGAAGGCCTGGGCCCTTCCAGTTACAGAGGGGTAGATGTTAAAAATAAAAAGGACTTTTAGCTTCTCTATGGGAAATGTATGTGCAAAATACTGCTCACTTTTTAAGGCAGAGGAAAATAGAATACAAAACACAGTACAGATTAATGTGCATAGTTGATAGTATTCAGTTTTTCTTATCAAAATATAGTAGTCAACCATGTTTTTAAGCACCTTGGGGGCAAATGGTTTCAAGGTCTCAACACAATTCTGAGCTAGGAGACGCCTCCAGGAAGATAAGGGTCTGGCAGTTTGTTTGGTGTCCCAAAAGATTTCCAGACAGCAGTTTGTTTCCTTTTCCTTTTTATGAATGGCAGTAGTATTATGCTTTGTCTGCATTTTCTACCAAAGCCATTCATAAAAATAAAAACAAAACAAAATAACAACAACAAAAATCTTTCTCGGCACAGTCTGGAGCCATTGGGTGCCAGAGGCTGGGAAAACATCGTGGCAGCCATAATCCAACCAGCATTGAAAGTATTCAAGGGTCTGTTTGTTTGGTGGTCTGAAAAGTATGAAGTGCTGTAAGGAAGGGCAGCTGGTAGAAGTTCTGTGACACGGACTAGGCTGGGAGCCAGGGCTGGCAGAGTTTCAGACATTGTCTTTCCCCTCATTGAAGTGTCAGGACCTAATTCATGGAAAATTGGGTGAGCTGGCAGCCCTTTCAGAGGATTTCATTGAGCCCTGCAGTGTGCAGGAGTCACATGAATGTGGGATCCCGGGCCAAAAAAGGAGGGGGACTTCTCAGCAGTAGGAACCAGTCAGCCTGCAAGAATGTGTGGGGATTTGAAACGGTTTAGGAGTAAACATGTGTACAGGTGTAATCGGCAGGAAAAAAGAGAAGGAAGAAAAGTGCTCTGTTCTTACAAATGACTCTTTTGAAATGAATACTCTCTTAGCACACACTTTTGAATCCTAAGAGACAAGAAGTCCTAATCAGCCTTGCTTCAGTTGAACCTGGAGAAAAACATCATCTTAAAACCCAGGCTTTATGATGTCATCTCTACTGTAATTGTCAAAGGGAAGAACTTTTTTTCAATGAACAAAAAGTATTTTACCATTTCTTTTATATTTATCTTGTTCATGATTTTAAAAAAAGACTGATGACTTTTATATAACATAGCTTAATAAGCAATAAAACATCACATCATCACTGAAATTCTAGAGGAAGAAAAATGAACTGGAGCTCTTCTCCCCCAGGATATAGAAAACTTGCCTTCACTTCTGGTATTTGGGAGAAATGTGGCCATTTTGTTTCTTTCACTTGTACCCGGAAAGCATGACACTGTCCATAGCAGGGTGACTCAGTGCACTCACAAATCTCAGGGATGTGTAGATAGAATCAGTGAGGCTTATGTTCATATGTGAGAAGGAGCACTGGAAGTAATCCATCAAAGCCCAAACTTCAAGTTCACATTTCACAATATCAGAGAATAATTTCATACATTGCTGGTAGGTATGTAAAATGGTATAGCTGTTTTGAAACACTGGCAGCTCCTCAAAAATTTGAACATTGAGTTACCTATAGGACACACAAATCCCACTCCCAGCTATCTACCCAAAAGAAATGAATGCAGGTCAGGCCTCCCCGGTGGCACAAAGGGTTGAGACACAGCCTATGAAGCTGTTCACAGCCACTGCAGCACAAGTTCGATTCCCGGCCAGGGAGCTACTCACATGGCTCAGCAGACCACTCCTGACTTGCCCGCTGCTCCCCTCGGCAGTGTATTTCAGTCGATCTGCCTGTTCTGTTCCCCACTCTGTCTCTGGTGAATGCTCCCACCCCCCGATGCCTCTGGCCTGTACCCCAGTTCTTGTATGCATGAATAAATAAATCTTTAAAAGAAATGAATGCAGGTCCACAGTAAAACTTGTATATGAATGTTCATAGCAGCATTGCTCATGGTGCCCGAAAGGTAGGAACAATCCAGTGTCCATCAACTGATAGGTTGATGCAGTATAAACAAAATGTAGTATATCCACAGAATGGAATATTATTTAATGATGAAAAGGAATGAAGAATTCATGTATGCTACAACACAGACAACCCTAGAAAAACATTAGGCTAAGTGTAAGAAACCAGATACAAAGATGATAGATCATATGATTATATTATGTGAAATGTTCAGAATAAGCTGATGTATAGAGACAGAACATAGATTGTCAGTTAGGGGTGGGAGGGCAGCTAGGCAGGCAGGAGGGGATGGAGAGTGGCCACTAATGGGTGTGGGGTTACTTTTAGAAGAGATAAAAATGCTCTAAAATTAAATTGTATTGAAGATTGTACAACCCTCTGAATACATTAAAAAAGATTAAGTTATGCACTTCACATGGGTAAATTTCATGTTATGTAAATTATATCTCAATAAAAGGTATTTTTTTAATATTAACAAGTTAGGCCTCTACTCTCCCTAAGTTTTTTGATATTAGATTAAAAATAAAGTGAAGCAAGTTTATCTTGATATAACTAGTATATAAATGTGTGTGTGTGTGTGTGTGTGTGTATAACACACACACACATATATATATGCCAGAGCTTTAATTGGGAATTATTTTAACTGAGTTAACCTGTATGAATAAGCACACTTTCACCTTAGATGAAACATTTGAACTTTGAATTTTTCTTCTTTACTTTGCAGACAACGGTCTATATTTAAAACATGTATACTTAGTTGTTTTCATCATGTTTCCTTTTAAAATATAACAGTTCTTTTTTTTTTCTTCCTTAGCCACAACAAGTTGTTCAGAAGAAGCCTGCTCAGGTAAGAGATGGCAGTTACGATTTTTTCTTCCAGTTTATATGAAAAGGAAAGTGAAAAAATATGACCAAATTAAACCTTTAATTTGTATTTTTCTAGTTTTGATTTTGTCAGCATTGCACTATTCTTGAAAATTGGCTTCAGAGTCAGAAATACATAGTATGAGATTATATCATTAAAAAGCCTAAAAGATAAAGACCTGAAATACACAAAGCAAATATGCTTTTAAAAATAAAATCTTCACTTCAAGGTCACATTTAAAACAACTCATTAACATCAAATTTTGTCTTTACCACCTAACTCTCTGTATTCCATTGACTTGATACAGGCCTTGTTGTCTGCAAAATACATCATGATGTCCAATATGTCTGTTCATTGAATTGTTCCATAATGTTTGATGATCCCAAACTACCCCCCATCCAAAGTCTGGGAAACTGGAAAATTTAAGTTATACTGGTTTTATTGATTGATGAAGTCTCAGGTCATGCTTCAATGACTGAATCACAGTCTCTGAAGTCTTTGGCAAAATCAAAATAGGAACCAACTTTACTCCTGTTATTCCTTATGCCTGAAATTCCCTGACCTAACTATAACCTACAGATAAAAACATAAGAATCCTATTTATTGAGGAAGTATATTGTGAAGAACACAGAAGAATAAATTAATCATGATTGCCAAGTGTGAGCTGTTCTTAAAATATAAGAAAGTCCTACAGTCCTCCCTTCTGGGTTTTAAGGGCAGATCTAAGTGTATTATGCAGAGTCTGTGGTGCATTAAGCAATACGAGCCAGCAGTGAGCCTCTCTTCCAGCTTCTACATTCTGTGATGTCAAATAGGTAGTTTTCAATCCATTGTGATGAGTCTTTACAACATGGAAAGTAACAAGTATTACACACCAAGACTTCTTTTCCTGAAGAGCAAGTTGCCAAACATTAACCTATAGACTATAGACTCCACCCATCAGTGATTCTGCTTATTGGTTTGGAGACTCAAGCAATAGTATTTTTTTAATGAACTTCCCAAGTGATTCTAATGTGCAGCCAGAGATGAAGACATTTGGTGAACACACACAAGAAGAAGTTTGAACAAACTACCACAGAATGTCATTGAACACGAGGCACAAGGGAATATAGATGAATGAGTGGAATGCCATGTGTTATTTAAGGGAATGATTCCCAGAGGTTTGGATTTTGTTTTTGTTGTTTAGTTGTGGAAGAAAAACTAGAAATATAAATTAGGATAAAGTAAGAAAAATGTTATAGAGGAAATGAATGGTATATTCAAATGTAGCGAAGAAAACAGATCATGGGTTGAGATAAAGAATGTGGCTATAGCTGACTGTAAATTGGGCAGTAATATACCAAGAAATGATATAAGTAAAACCACAAATTTTACCCAAGAGAAGCAGGAATGTCAAAGAAGCCACAGATGGAGGGGATGGTCTACAATATGGCTGGCCTAGAGAACCTGCTCCAAATTTGCCCTTAAAAAGAGAATTCAGATTCAGAACTAGAAAAATGAACATGAGTTCATTTGGCTTCCTTATCTATATTGTCTAAAGACACTGTGATGAATTATATAAACATGAGGACTACATGGAGTTCATGGAGAAAAATGTAAATTTTACGTTACATTCAAAAGAATCTCATTCTTTTCCATGTTTCTTTCAAAATACCCTCCCAGATAGCTTTTCCATGTGACAGCTGCATTAATTCACGCTCTTACTCTTTCTTCAGCCACAGTAATTTGAGGGATTGTATTCAGGTTCTGTTTTAAGGTGGTGAAGATATTAGCATATTTAAATATTTTACATATAAGCAAATGAAGTAACAAGACACAACAAAAATCACTTCGACTTTGAGAAATATGTGGTGGTTACAAGAGGGAAAAGAGAAGTGAGGGGTGAATAGAGTCAATTTGATGGTGTAAACAGCACTAGGACTTTGGTGGTAAGTACTGTAAGGTTTATATACTTGTCAAGGTATAAAGCTGTACCAGTGAAACATACAATATTGTAAAGCAATGACAGATCAATTAATTTTATTTAAATAAAGCAAAATGGAGAAAGGAGCTCATCCGCATGAAAGGAGACATAGTTTTTACTTTCTGACCCCATCATTGGGTGAATTCTCTCTCTGCCTTTTCACTCATTTCTGAAATGGGATCACATCAGCAGCTCTTCTCTTAATTACATAAATTACAAGGATTAATTATCATGTGCTGACTTATTTTAGGATGCTAGATTTTTTATTTTTTATTTCCATTCTAGAAAATTCTATAATTCCAATTAGTTCAAAACTATCATCTTTTTAGAAGACTCCAGTATTTTAATTGGTTTTTTTTTCCCTAAAATAATGATTGTTTTTTAACAAGTGATTCCTAATGGATAGAATGTGTGATACATGTATGTGCAGCTACAATTACTTTATTGTAAAGCACCCTGATGCCAAATACTGACACCTCTACAGAGCTTCAAAAATGCCACTTCTTGAAACAAATAAAAAGTGGCAAAATTTACTCTGAGGAGAAAAAAATTCAGAGTTAGGATCAATCTCAAAGTATAAATATGCATTTATGTTTGTGTGTATTAACTACCTATGTCTAGAGTGGAATAAAAATTTAAGGAAAACCTACTGCAGGGAGGGTGAGGTGGGGGGAGCTTGGACTGTCCACTAGGTATCATCAGCGCAAACCTCATGTGTCCCCATGATCCTAATGGGAAAGTTAATAGTCTCTTAAAAATCTGAAAAGAGAAAGAAAATCTGCAAAATTCATATCAACTTACTTTTTCTTTCCAAAACCAGTGAACTAAGCTTACTAGGGAACACGCCTTTATTTTCATTTAATGCTTTAAAATAAGCAACAAATAGAAATTAGCTCATTTCCTGGTTTTTTAGCAATTTGAGGCAATTGAATTCTCAGCCATATGGATTACATTCTTAACTTCAGTAGGAAATGGTGATAGCTTTTCGTGTTGTCGTCATTTTTTTTTTTTTTAAGAAGAACTGTAAGAAGTATCAGGTTGTTGTTATTGCTAGAAGGAGCTTTGTTTCTCAAGTTCTTATTTTCCTAAGACTAAATTTCACTCCATGTCAGGCTTCCAAAATGGTTTTGCTGGTTTATCAGTTATCTCACTTTCTTGATGCACCCTCTTCAAGCTCTAAATGGAGATTAGAAGTGACTCTATATAATTCAGACATTTCCCCCCCCTTACTTGTGCCCTACCCAAAGGGAACACGGGTTTTTAAAATCTTAACAGTTCTCCTTCTTTTCAACCCAATTTCCTCCGCCTTGTATAGCTGTGGCAAACTAACCCTCTGGCAATTAAGACAGGAAGAAACCTGCTCCTTTTCAATGTCCCAGTGAAAGAATTGGGAAGTTTTCCATTTCTAAAAGACTTGAAACAAAGCTTTCTATTTCGAAATAGAGTTTTTACCTGCAAGTAACATCTTCTGTGGGTGGTGTGTACAGGGCAAAGAAATCACAGTAAGCTTTGGTTATCATGGGATTTTCCCCCCTTTCAAAAAAAGAAGGTGAATATTTTTACAGAGACTTCAAGTGCAGTTTTAAGGATGTTAATATTTCAGACAACCTAAACATTGTTTGGAGCAAAATGAGAGATTTCATTTGGGGACAAGCAAGTTGCTGAATGGCCGTCAGCATCTTGGTCTCAAAGAAGGCATTTTTACTGGGGGCTTTTCGTCTAGACGTACAAAATAGGCAGGAGGCAGAGGGAAGAGCATTCCCATTCTCACACTCATCTTTTACGGGGTACTTTGGCCAATGCAGTAAATAGTTCATAATAAATCAGAATTGCAAATGGTCACTCTTGTGCTCACTCAGGGAGCATGGTGATTTATATCACCTCAGGCATAAAGAGTACTGATTTATTTCTGCTCCTACCTCTGCCCTTTCAAGCTGGTAAAACATTTTGTGGGCCAATAAATGTTTGGTACCAACTGGCAAAACATGAAGAATTCTATCAAAGCCAGCCCTGAGTGGCAGGCACTGTTTTGTTGTAAGGGAAATATTTTTTTATTTAACCCCTGACCGCTGACATTGCAAAAGTCAAGAGAGAAGGAAAGAACAAAGCAGAAACCAACATTTAACCCTTTCAATGAGGTAGCTCAGAAATATGACAGCATAAGATAAGGAGAACTCACATATCAAAATGATTATTAACTATAAATGTAGGGAATGGTTAGCTTAGCTAGCAGTGGGAATAAGGAATATTGGCAAGGTGAAGACAGTTGTTCCTTAGTAGAAAATATGTCGCAGAGATGATGAAAACTTCTAACAGAAGTGAAGGAACATCTCTCAAATTGAAACAATATGTAAATGTTTAAAAGGTGAAATTTAGTATTTCTAGACTTGACAGATTTCCTATAGGAGTTTCTTTTTTTTTTTTTTTTAAGAGTATGATTGTTTTTAACTATGTGGCAAAGTGTGGATTAGGCTCAAAACAAAATGTTAATATCTGCCTGCCTTTCCTGTACACGTGATAAAATGTTTTTCCTCTGCATTTTTAATGTGAGTTGAAAAAAAAAACAATTTTTTATTTAAGATGGAAAAGTTCTTATATTGTCTGAACTTGCTGACTCAAAATAATATGAATACATATATCTGGCTTTAAAACCTAGTCTTTCTAAGAAAATCTTTAAGTGTGAATAGAAGTAAGTTGCTTTGTCCAAGATACTTTCTTTATAGTCAGGAAATGTTTGCTGGACACACAAATATTTGTTGAATGTTATTTGACAAATATAATTATAAGTTGTAAATAATTATGACTTATTGTTATTACTGATCTTTGATAATCTTATTCAGAAATCCTGTCAGAATAATGAAAAACACTTGGTGCAATAATGACTTAAAAATCCAGAAATACTCTGTTCCCTGACAACAAATACAACAGTTATGCAAAATGTTATGCATCAAGAAATCAAAGACAAAAGGTTTCCCCTAGTCTATGCTATCAATAAACACAGCTGGAACTTAACCATTCA